TTCAAATATTCATATAAAATACTTTTATCTAAATATTTATATATTTATCAATATTTAGATCTATATATATTTATCTATATATATACATCGATGTGTATAGATATAGATATATAGATAAATAGATCAGGACAGTACTTAACACTGATTGGATAGTTGCGATGCCCTGCGGGGAGGCCCCACCCCCATGGGATCAGCTTCTGACAAAACGGCTGAAGTGTTTTGAAATCAGAGCATTCTCCACACGGCAGGGAAGAGTGGCTTCAAACTCACAGCACAAAGCTTTTAATACATAAATTTCAGGCATTGCTGATTCCTGCTCTTCCGGTCTAATCTTGTTGGCCATTTAGATTTCCTGCTTTTCCAAAAATATTAGCGGTGTCTTTATGGTCTGTTCATGCAGACCCAAGATGCACCAAGGTTTTAGTCACAAAGTGACTTGCACAAAAACCTAAATTTTACATTGCATATAGCTGCACATAGGCTACAAGAGAAGAAACAGTTAAGAACTGTTGCTGTAAAGTCAAGTGTTTCTTTGAAGTAGTCAGTGATATCATTCACAGAGCCTGTGTTATTTTAAAGCCAAACAGCTGCAATTATTAACAATTGTTATCAATCTCTCAACAGCTATTTGATTTTTTGCTGTATTTTGTCAACATCACTACACCTGGCCTCACTCTAAAAAACATGGCAAATTTCAAGCTATTTTTTTTTACAACAACACCTTAGGCTTTGGCTATAGACAATCAGGTAGTTGCCAAAGTTATTCAAAAAGGAGGGTAATTCGAGAAAGAAAGGAATATTTACTAAGTAGATATACTAGAAATAAGGAGTTTTTTTATATTTGGGTGGCAAGTATTAGCTGTAGAAACAAACTACAGCTACAAACATGTAGCTGTAAACAGCTACATATAGATATACATATATACAGTGTATATACATATACATATATTTGATATAGATATTTGAGATTGAGAGATTGATAACAATTGTTAAAAATTGCAGCTGTTTGGTTTATATATACATATATATTAGATAAACAGATTTTTTTATTACCAGTGTTGTCCAGCATAATGACCATATTGTTCCAAGCCAGGCTATGGTCAGGTTTAAGTACCGTTGCATTTCTCCATGCGTTGAGGGCATCAATGTGTCTGTTCTGGTCCGCATACTAAAATAAAGAATATTGTTCATTACAATATCTGGTCTGTCTCTGACACTATTAAAAGTCTTCTTATTAGTAATCAAGTCATCAAAACGTTTTTTTTTTTTTTGGTGTAAAGGCTTACCAAACGCCCCAAGTTATAGTAACAGTCGGGGTACTTTTTTCGGAATCGAATGGCGTTCCTGTAGCTCTTTTCTGCTTCCTCAAATTTCCTTAGACTGTTTTGAACTATTCCTAAATTCATCCATGCAGCAGCAAAATCAGCTCTGCCAAGGATTAAAACATGCAAAGAAAAAACACATTTACGATTAACTCCACTTATACTGCAGTAGCATCTTTGTAATAAAGCTAATAGTGTTTTTGTTTCAAATACATACTGAATAGAAACAGCTTTCGACAAAAGTTCCTCTGCTTTGATCAGCTCATTTCTCTCTTTCAGAATATTCCCCAGGTTGTTCATGGCATGGACGTAAGTGGGATGTAGCCTTGAAGTCACAGAAAAAAATGCAACCAAAAAATTGAAAATGTATTTTTGAATACATTTTATAAAAATAAATCAGTGACTATGAGAACTTATCCGGTACCTGACTGCCTCTCTGTAATATCCAATAGCATCATCTGGATTCCCTCTGTCAGCCAGGTTCTTGCCGACATTGTAATGCACCTGTTCAAGGAGTCACAAGAAGATGACAGTGAAATTTAACCTATGCAGGTCAGCCATCATCAAATCACTACAGGAGGACACAGAGTCCAATACAACTGTATATGCAGGACACACTAGACCTTGGCATTGAGCGGACAGACAGAGAGGGCGCTGGAGAAGAGGCTTTGCTCCGACCGCCACTGGTGACTGCGCAGAGCACAGCGAGCAACATAGGCACACAACAGTGCAAGCACCAACACACAGAGCTGCTTCTGCAATGAAGAAAAATGTTTCACATTAAACATTAAAGGAGGAAACCACACATCTCGAGTGTTATCAAGCTAACTTATCAGAGGAGATTTTTATGCTCCTGTTCATCTCTTAGCGTGTTTCAAATGTCACTAGAAATATTAATGCAAATTAAACCTAATCCTGAAATGATACCACCACAGGTGTTAAACTGTGTCAAGTACAGAATTAAAATGCTTGTACAAGCAGTAAGAAACATCTGTTTTGTCACTATGTGCAGCAGTTCGTTAGATAGTTCATGTTGCAAAGTACTTGCAATTACTTTTTTTGAGCAAATTACAAAAAGCAAATACAGTATCTGTTTGATGATAAATTGGTCTATATCAAAGAGGATGCTCTAGGTTCTGTGCTCCTTGGTGCCAGGTGGTCTTACCCTATATTTGGTCCAGCGACAGCAGCAGTGTCCAACAGAGTAGGCCAACAGTAAGCAGTAGCCAGCTGAGGAGAGGTACAGCACTCTCTCAGCGATGACAAAGCCCACTCTGAAAAAAATGTTACAGGCTGGCAGAAAGGGCACTACAAGCAGCACCAGTCCCAGAGTCAGAGTCCTAGCAAGGAAAATATTGTTTATTTAGACTCAATGTCCTGAAACATCCAAGTTCAAAACAATGAAAAAAAAATAGACTTCTTAAATTTAGCAACAAAAACTTTTTTTATTAAGATAGCCTCCTTCTCTGTCCCAGCAGAGAATTTTAAATCCCTTCAAACATTGGATTCATGTTGTTCTGGTCACAGTGCAGTGGACAAGATACAATTTTCATAATCCAGTGTACTGTATGTCTGTGGAGGCCAACTTGTACTTCATCTTATTTACTAGCTCAAAATGGTGTGTGGTTTCCCTACCTCCTTCTCTGACTGTCCTGCGAGCATAAGGCTTGGTTTACCAAGCCTATCAGGACGCACCAGAGCAGCAGAAGCCACAATATCCTCCAATCAGTGGTGCTCTTAATGAGCGGCACGCATCCCATGGACCAATCAAAGCACAGCCACCAGGGACACAGCAGCAGCCAGGCATTCAGCGAGTAGTAGTAATTATAGTTCACTA